TACCAAAAAATATTAAAATATAACTTTTTCCCCAGTGTATACCTAGGCATAGGCATTTTTGCATGCGGCGCATGGCTGCATTTTTTGGGCTTACCAGCTGGAATAAGAGTTTGTAGCTGAAAGTTTGTGCGGGTCGGAGAAGGGAAGAGGAAGTATAAAAGGTGGTACTGCACTCCATGGAGGCGAGGCTGCGAGGTCTCAGGGGTCTGAGGAGAAGACTGAGGCCGAGTCAACGGCATGATAAACGTGCTGCCAATAAATTACACTGCGTCAAGGCAACGAATCCTGGCTCCTAGCTCCTGGCTTCTGGTTCCAGCATACGAGGCGCATCGCAGGAACATCCTGGGCGCATTGGAGCTGCTGCACATTTTTGCTGCCGTACCATTTAAAATTTAGTACAATTTTCTTTTGGCTTTCACGTGCGCACTCCGTTCATACGGTAAACAATTTGAATGCTTTGGCAGGCAGGACACGTAGGCGAGAAGCAGCCAGGACATTGCCGGAGCCGGAGGAAACGCTTTACGAGGGTAAACCAGTAACTATGGGATGTCTCTCTTTTCGTTCACTATTTCTCAAGCAAACAATGATGGTTGGCGATGGCTGAGTGACACGAATGGTTTCTGATAATAACTCTAATTAGGGAATAATAATATAGAAATCCATTGTACAGATTTTTGTCAGCTGTTTTTTATATAAAGTAACAAATAATAATAAAGCCACAAAAAAAAAAAAGAAACAATGACATTAAAATCAATTACATTTTAACAAAGACTGGCCATAAAATGGACAACAATGAATAAAAACTAATATACTTTTGATGTTAACGCTTCCCTAAAGCGCATTCAATATTTATATATCTATAACAAGCTAGAAATAAAAAATTATCAAAATAAATATTGGACTTTATCCCTCTGGCTGGGCAGTGATTGATTGCCGAGCAGGATTAATCAAGGGCGAATGAATATTTTAAAAAATCCCTTCACGTACTTTTTTAATATTGATAGCTCAACAGTTTGCCACGCTGTCTGGCTAGAGAATGGCTAAAACCGGGCACTCATCTCTACCCGTAAGCGGGTTTCCTGCCACATCCTTGCCCTCTTCAAGTGCAGAAACAGGACAATCGTAGCGTAAAAAGTTTGCTCTCTGTTCCCGTGACCCTAACTATGCTTACTCAATCCGCTGCCCCGCCCTCGTGCCAGCCATTTGCAATGCAAACACTGCCGGATAAAAAAGGGGGAGCTCCCATCCACCTCGAAGGACCCCAAGGACTTGCCGCCTCCCCCCAATGTGAGCCGAGCACGCATCTTGCATTGTGTAATATGCTCTGCGATTTATGTTTGTCCTAAGCCGGAGGAAGCACGACGAGGGGGCAGCTGCTCGCATATTGAGCACCCGAACCATATCCAAAAAGAACATAAATTGAAATGTTCTTGGCAAACAGAAAAAAAATATTGAAATCATATTTGGGGCAAGTGCATGGCATGAGCTTGGAACAGACACACTTGACTTTCGGCAACGAATGCCTTGTCGGGGGAATTCAGGATTCAAGTGCTTCTGCCTTTCGCACACAAATCACACAACTCCGAAAGGACTAACAAACGTGAGAAGTTGAGCAAAAAACTGGGAAAAAAACTTTGAGCGACTGCAGGACACCTACTATATGTCATTCTTATGGTAATCTTACAATTAAAACTTGGTCAAGAAAGTTGGTAATAATAATTTCTAAAACCTCAAGGATGACTCTCTTTTTAGATTATTTATTTGGCCATAAAAAAAAAAATGGAATTTCATGAAAGAGCAATTGAATATACCCATCAAACTACTCTAACACGAACTAATAAAAACAAACATGGAACAAATCGAAAGAATATGAATACCACAAACTTTCTTTTGTGTTTACACTTATGGAAGGACTCATAAGGATTGAAGGCCCCAGCATTCAGATCCAATCGCGTTTTGACTGCCAGAACAATAGAGCTTAATAGATGAATCAAGACTCGCATTTTCAGAGAGTACATGAAGCCAATTCAATTGTCAGGCAACCGCAAATAAAATGGTTTTATGTGCATTTTAGCTGCTTTTATTTCACTTCCCAGCTCCCGTACCCCTGCCACTGCCACTCTGCCCCTCTTCGCTTTATGGCTTAATACAATTTTTATGTTCTGGCCATTTTGAAGAGTCAACTGTGGCGTCTAAAGACCGCACCACGGATTTTTTGGGGAAAACGCGCCCAATAAAAAGCCAAAACATTTGCGCAAAATTCGGGACATTATTTTTTTGGGGGGTCGGAAGCGGCAAAACTTGAGGCCTGGGAATAGGCTGCGTCACCTGTCGTCTTGCCCCCTCGGCTCCTCTCGCTATCCACCTGTTTATGCGAGGATATAAAACGGTTTTATGTGCGAGTCCTGGCCAAGTTTAATGCTAATCGTCATCGTCATATGTCGTAAGTGGTCGTAAAGGCACATCAACTTCATTCTTATGATTAGCGCTATTTAAGAGAGTTAACGATATAGTCCTCGGGACTCGGGCCCGAAGGAAACACAATTTCCATAAAAAAAAATTAGTTGTAAGCGATTTTCGATTAGGCTGGCCCTAAAGATAAAGGGTCCTTAAACTTAAGGGGTTAGGATATTAGGGAAATTCGGTTTAAACGTAAACTCCTTGCTAATTGAGGCCAGTAATCAAAAACTTGAGCTCCCAATAAACAAGATTCGAAATTTGTAATTGCCATAACAATAATTTGCACTTCGCTGCAAAATAATACAAGTCATAGATCCGAGTATCTTAACTATCCAAAATTGCGCCTTGGGCCTGTGGCAACAGGAAATTAGTTAAGCCAGGATTTGCAAGGAGCCAGGTTGCCTCAGAGTTCGGGGTGAGAGGCTGAGGTCGGTAAACAAGGGCATTAGTGTTCATTAATTGTGCAAACATAAATTTATATATATATATGTGCATAAATATAATATAGTGCAGCATGGTATGGGGTGTACGAACATTTCGTCTTGTATGTTTAATTAGAGTTGTGAGGCCGACCACCTGGCGTATGCGTAATCTTGTTTATTGCATCAGCCCGAACCGAGCATTGCACATTGGATTTTGGGCATTCAAACAGCACCAACTATTTTCCAATGCCAAACATAAATTAGGCTTTAACAACCTATCAACTGATTTGGTTTGGGGCTTCGATGGTATAATGAGGACTTTGCTCCTGTCCGTTCCAGCCGCAACGCAAATCCTATTCGCAACGCCGGCTGACATCCAAGGAGACGTTGTGATAGCTTAATGCTGTGCATATTTATACGAAAATTATTGATGATTGTGTATTGGATTCTAGAATTTATGGCTCAATTTGAGCCTCAAGTTTCTAATCACCAGCTTGAGTGGAGTTTGTATAATGAAGGTATTTGTGGGATTGGCATTAATATGGGCAATGAATTCAAACAATGGTACGGTTTGTACGGTTTTTGTAAATTTGTTCTCCAGGCAGCCTCAAGAAATCATTCGTCCTATGCTCCGACTTACAGGCTCTTCCACAACTGACGACAGCCCTCGTTCTGTCTTGGCCAAGTCAAATGAATTAATGGCCTTACATGTTGGCATATGGAGCCGGCTCACCTTCATTACTCCTTGAACTTATCAATATGCATGACGAAGATTTTGACAAGATTTTTAGGGCTCGTCATTTGCATTTTACATACTTAATTGTTTTCCCATTACAGCCTGCTGACTGGCTGCCAGAGCTTCATTAGCACCAGGACCAGGACACACACATGCCCGCCCACCCCGCTGAGGAAGTCACAACGATTAATGTCAACTTGCTTAATAGCATTCCTTTTGCCTCATCACGGAAAGCGGCTCAACCGAACTTAAAGCCTCCACCAGCCCGCTCGGCTCCCCTTTTGGCCGCAAAACAGGCGGCAGTAATTTCCTGATACCGCCCCTCCCTCCCAACGTTTTGGGCCAAAATGCAGGCTCAACATGTCATGTCACTTTTGCTCGCCCCGGCTCGGAAGGGGAGTGAAGCTGCGGTTGTTCGCGTGATGAATTACACACTCGCCGAAGGACACGATGATGAAGTGCCTGTCATTCGAGGCCCAAAAGAATGCCCAGCAGCCTGTCCGTCGCTCTGTCCGCCTGTCGGCTAGTCCGACGGTCTGTCAGCTTGTCAGTTCGTCAAGCCTCGCCTGGCAGACGCTCGTATTGTTGTAAGCCATTTGCATAGAGCATCTTCCGCATAATTTATCGACACTTGAGCAAAACTTTAATTACTCCCCAGCTCGGGGGCCCGAACATTTTTCGTCTAGTAATGTGCCCGAGGGGGCAACGCACAGGCGAGCAAGTTGGTAGACTCTTCCACTATGTGAATTTCTGCATATGGAAATGGGGAACTGGGAAATGGAAAATGGTCTGAGGTATGGTATGAGGAAAATTCTCCAAAAAGCTCGAGTCCTTTGTCTGCGTAATTCAATGCGTGTTTCCAGCATATCCTTTGGCCATACATAGCGCACATATTGCATTGGATTTGAGGATGAGGTTCTTGGGGTAGTTATCCTTTTATACCATCTCTTTCTCTCTCTATGTTTCTTTCTCTGTCTTCGTCTCTATCCTTCCTGCTCTTGGCTAATGGCCTTTAATTGAGCGCTGGGAAATCGTTCAAGTGTTTGCGGCTGTTGAAAAATTTTTGGGAAATTCGATATTGTAAATAAAGTGGCCCTAAATGCTCAACTTGGCCATTTTCACACAATCCCGGTTGTGCCTGGGGATTTTATGTTCCAATGTTTGAATTCATGGCCCGCAGAGTGGCAGGATGCGTGTGGCAAGTGTTCGATTCCCGGGGACATCCATATTGTTATAGCTAAGTGGGAGAATTTTAATGTCTCGGTTACCCAAAATGGACTAATCACTTAAGCTCTTCAACACATTACCCAAATAAGCTTCATTTGGGAATGAGTTCTACTTTCCTTCTATAATCTAGTTCTGGTATTAAAAACTCTTTGAAATGACGGCTAAAATAAAATTTACTTTTCAATTAAAAAGACAGAACAACGAAAAACATAGTAGACTAGGTGAGGATGCAATCGCACATGCGCTGGCAGATTCTTTGACAGAGATTATCCACATAGTTGAGGATCCTTTTATTGGAAGATCCTTTGAGAAGTTTCTTGAGCTCCTGGACGGCGGTCAGACACTCGCAGTGCTCGTAGAGGCGACTTTTGTTGCAGAAGAAGTCCTCGCACTTAATGGGATCGCATTTGCGGAGCGGAGCGCGGTACTCCTCGTCGGTGCGGCATGCCATGTAGCTCCGGTGGCACATTTGCCGATAGTAGTTGCGTAGCTGGAGTCTCTTCTCCGCTCGCCTCATGTCCCGGATGAAGGGCGCCTCGGGTTCCTTGCGGCGGCGCTCCATGAAGTGGCAGATCTCGCACTGGCACTCCGGAGGCGGACAGGGCGGACAGACAGGGCAGGGCGGTTTCTGTTTTTCATCCTGGAAATGAGCATTGTGGTTATTTTTCTTGGAATGGCGCCTCTTTCTGATCTTTTTAGTTGGCAGATCCACATCCCCAGGCATAAAATATGGCGGCGGTTCAAGGATTTGGAGTCTGGAAGGTGTCCTAAGGGAGGCCTTTGAAGGCTCTCTGAGAGGCCTATAATCTTCAACATCTTCATATGAGAGGAGAGGTTCCTCCATTTTGGGTTCTTCCGTATCGCTTTTTCTTTTTTCTTTAGTCTTATTTCTTTTATCCTTTCTCACATATTCATATTTCGATTTTAAGCTTTCGGAATCTCTATCTTTTGTCTTGTTGACCTTTTCAGTGCCAACTTCTTTCGTTTTATCACTAGCTTTTTCTTTCTCCTTGGTGATCCCTTCATCTTTGTCCTTGCTTTTGTCCTTATCACCTTCCTCTTCTTTGCTTTTATCACCTCTATTGACTCTATCCTCTTTGCCTTTATAGCCTCTAGCGGTCTTTTCATCACCTCCGTCTCCTGCTCCCCGATTGCCGCCATAGTCGCTTAAGGAGGGTCGGAGTGCCGATCCGCTATCAGGACCGAAATTGCTGAAATTGCTATCCTGCCCATCTCTATCTCCGTCTCCGGCACCTCCGGTGCCCCCCGCTCCGTCTCCAGTACCACCTGCACCTCCGTCCTTCCCCCGGGGCTTCTTGGGTTTGCAGCAAACCTCGTAGACTTTGCAAATGGGATCCTCGGTTGGCTCAAAGCAGCCCACTAGCCGTTTGTATAGCTCGTCGTAGTTCCTGGGCTCGGATGGGACGGGCTGGTCGAAGGCCTCCGGATTCCTGGAATTAGTCTTAGGATTCGGAACACAACAAGGAGGACAATACCAGAACTTGGTGCGTCGCTGAGGCTTCGGTGCCACAGAGCGTGTCCGGCTGAGGTTGCGGAGGCGTTGCTCCTCTGAGAGGACTGCCGGCAAACCAAAAGGATTGTTAGGATCTGGATGAGCCCAGCAGTACATGTTGGGCGTTGCCCTTCGGGGCGATAGTTGCTGCTGGACCTGTGGCATCCGTTGAATTTCCTGTTGCAATACCCACCGATTGAGGATCAAGGGCGGGCACGGCTGCGACGGAAAAGGCTTGCTTGATTGGACGCGGCGTAGTTGCGGTGGAAGGGGGGGCTTGGGTGGGCGCTGCTTGGGTGTCCCGCTTGCCTTGTTCAGGCACTGTGCCAGCAACTGGTTGAACCTCAACGATTCGGGCTGGTGGGCGGGCGAACCGACGCCATAGAAGCCCAGCGTGTCCTTGTGCGGGCTCTGCTGCCAGACTTGCAGGACGTCGTCGCGCTCCATGTCGAAGGGTCGCCCGCGGCCATCGGCCCCACGGCTGTGGATCAACCCGGCTGGTGACTTACTTTCTTGGCATCGGGACCCAGGCGGTCGGATCGAAGGGTATGTCTCGGAGCGCCGAACCTGATAGGTGTAATTATTCCCATTCCTCTGCACCACGCAGGGGTAGGGCGCAGGTGCCGAGGGGAGTCGCTGGCTGGCAGGGGGAGGATAGGAGGTGCCCAGGCACTCGGGACCTCGCCACTGCCGGGACCGTCTGCCTCCCGCGCTCATGTACGATTGCCTCGGACTGCACCACACAGAATTTACCTTTATTCATAAAGATTTTTTTGTTGCCAAAGAATAATTTTGTAAGCCTAAATAGGGCCCGAACTAGTAGTCGTTGAGAACCCTGTAGAAGTGAGGATAATCCAGCTGATGATTCAAGCAAAGGCTCCGTGATAGACAGTCCTTTAAAAAAATAAAAAAAAAGTCCTTTAAAAATTGAAGAAAATTTATTTTTGTTTTATGATGAAGTTCAAAGCTTGAGCAAAATGAAACATAAATTCCTTAAGCCTCTTATTTTAGAAATACTATGTTTGGAGCTTCTGTTGTCTGACTTCCAGAGCTCAATTAGTTTTCCAACCATATAATCTGATTTATTTGGGTCATTCGGTCGGTCCGGTTGAAATGCAGTTACTGCATCGGATTAGCCTGTCACTCTCAGAATTTGCTTAGCCAGGGGATCAAAAATGTTTTCGCATCCATCAAAATGAACTCCAATTAAAGTTTGCACACTTTAATTTGCTGGCCCAGTTTCCAGTTTTCCGCAGTGTTTCCCCAATCGAGCCGGAGTCTTTTCCCCTTACAATTTCCTGCCCAATGCCACATAAATTCGCACACGAAAGAGCCTGACATGGCTGTGCTATTTATGGAGCAGTTCCTGTTCAACCAAAAAAGGGCAAAAATACGAGAAGCACAAAAAGCCAAAGTCAGCTGCTTTTAGTGTTAGCATCCTAGAATGCTGGTTGCTGGTTTCTGGTAACTGGTATGGTTTGGGGTCGTGGGGATACATTACATATGTGGGGAGGATGAACACACACAGCTTATATACAGAAACATAAATCCTAAATTGTCTTTTGTCGCATAAATATTTTACTTGAGAGAATCAGGGAGAGCGAGGCAACGGCCTACCAGGACGAGCAAGGACACAGACAATGGCCTAGCTGGAATAGGACATGAAATGACATTATTTCTTATTATTAGAACAGCGCAAATAAATGAGTCTCGGAAGGCGGAGAGGAAGTGCAAATAGGCGACTACCACTCCGATGACGGCGGACTGGGGCACTTTGTTTGTCCTGCCAGGACCGCAATTCCCACATGTCTGTCTTCATAAATGCTTTATCTCCGGCCAACACTCACGGCGGCGGCTGCAGAGGAGGTTGTGCTCTGTGTGTGTTGGCTTTTGTAATTATGTGCATATAATAAAGTTGACCTAAATATAAATAAGCTACGACTTTAGCGCAGTTTAATAAAATCCAATGCCTGGGACAATAAACGGTGGAATGGGGAGTGGGGTCTTGGTCGGGGGGGTTATGGACATAAGCACAATAGTCATATTGTGTTGATGTTGTTCCTGGACGGGCAGTTCATTAAATGATAAGCCATCGACATCTGGCCGAACAATTGGGGATCAGGCGATGCAATCCCAATTCCACAAACAATCACTGGTAATTGGGCCTGACTTGGATGGGAATGGGGTGGGGGCGGGGATTAAATGAAATTTAAATTTAATCTGTTGAAGGGCATGCGGTTGTATGCCCACATATGCATGTGCGTAATCATAATTAATGGCGGAGCTGAGTGAGTTGAGGAATTTTGCCCAGAAATATCTGCATAGAGACGTGTCCCTCTTGCAGATTTATTGCCCAATATATTAGACAACCCTTCGCACATTTGCCAGAGCTTCGGCTTGTGCAGCTGAAATAAATTCATAAATTCAGCACGAAAATGGCAGACAACGCATATGCTCACACTCCATCTTTCAAGCTGATTCTTTCTGCTGAATGTGCTTGAGCGTTATCCATTAAATGCGATGAATCAACTCTTGGCCACCATAAACAATCTTTGACTCACTTGCTCCTCTCCGTTCCTCATAAAACGTCATACGGCTGAAGGCGGATGGCGGATGGCGCAGCGGAAATTTATGTTCGCCATTTTACCGCGGACTTGTTTGTATTTGTCTGACAATGAGCGCTCTCTACAGTGTACACATATGTGTGTGTGTGCGTGTGAGCCCTCCTGCTAGTTGGTGTGCGTGTGCATATATTTGACTTCCTGTTGACGTGCAAGATGGCCGACAAAAGAGCAAAGAGCCGCTAAAAGTCACTACAAAATTTGTCTTCTGAAAGATTAATTGCTTAGACTTAGATTATTTGCTTAGACAAATAATGCAATTGGAGGTACGATTATTTTCACCTCTACATTTTCTAAAAGGCTATGGGAATTTTATAGCTGCCGTATAATTTAACTTTCCGAATATCATATATTAGCTCGTTCAATCTTCATCAATAAAGGACTTATATTTATACCCTTGCAGAGGGTTTTATAATTTTGTCTTAAAGTGTTCAAAACTTCTCGGATTGAAAGAAAAAAAGTTACTTCGAAATTGATGTACCCCTTCGAGCTATAAGATATAGTTCAAGCGGAATATCTTAAATGATTTCTAGATGAATTTCCTACCATTCTGCATCAAAAACCTGAGGCAAAATGTTTTTTAAACTTTTGGTTTAAAAAATGGACAAGGGGTCCCATTTTTCATTATGGGACCCCTTGAAAGTGGGTTTTTTCCATATATGGCCCACAGTAACGGCTATATCTTCCGTTATATATCTTCCTTCCAATTCTCTAAGACCTTTACCGATTTCTAGATCAATTTCCTACCATTCTGCATCAAAATCCTGAGACAAAATATTTTTCAGATTTTTTGTCCATTTTTCGTTATGGGACCTCTTGAAAATGTGGTTTTCCTCTATAGGGGCCACAGTGATGGCTATATCTTCCCAAATTCTCATCCGATCCTCAAGCGGAGTACCTTAAACGATTTTTGGATCGATTCGCCACCATTCTGCATCAAAATCCTGAGAAAACATTTTGTATACATTTTTTTGTCCATTTTTCGTTATGAGACCCCGTTGAAAATGGGGTTTTCCCATATATGGCCCACATTGATGGCTATATCTTCCCCAAGTCTTATCCGATTCTAAAGCGGAGTACCTTAAACGATTTCTGGATCGATTCGCCACCAATCTGCATCAAAATCTTGAGACAAAATATTTTTCAGATTTTTTGTCCATTTTTGGTGATGGGATCCCTTGAAAATGTGGTTTTCCTCTATAGGGGCCACAGTGATGGCTATATCTTCCCCAATTCTCATCCGATCCTCGAGCGGAGTACCTTAAACGATTTCTGGATAGATTCGCCACCATTCTGCATCAAAAGCCCGAGACAAAATATTTTTTAGGTTTTTTGTCCATTTTTGGTGATGGGATCCCTTGAAAATGTGGTTTTCCTCTATAGGGGCCACAGTGATGGCTATATCTTCCCCAATTCTCATCCGATCCTCAAGCGGAGTACCTTAAACGATTTCTGGATCTATTCGCCACCATTCTACATCAAAATCTTGAGACAAAATATTTTTCAGATTTTTTGTCCATTTTTGGTGATGGGATCCCTTGAAAATGTGGTTTTCCTCTACAGGGGCCACAATGATGGCTATATCTTCTCCAATTCTCATCCGATTCTCAAGCGGAGCACCTTAAACGATTTCTGGATCGATTCGCCACCATTCTGCATCAAAATCCTGGGACAAAATATTTTTTAGATGTTTTGTCAATTTTTCGTTATGGGACCCCTTAAAAATGGGGTTTTCCCTTTTAGAGTCCACAGTGATGGCTATTTTATCCCCATTTCTCATCTGATTCTCAGTCGTAGGGCTTATAGCGCAACAAAGTACACTAAAATTTAAAAATACTTTGTTATATATTAATAGTCAGCCCATTGATTAATGAATAAAACCGATAAATTGTGTGGTAGTCGGAACTCCAGATGATGAAGAACCAAAGTAAAAATGACCATTTTGTAAAAGACCCAATTGGTTTGGAAAATAAAAAAAAACACATTGTTAAGTTAATTTCGATAATTAAAAGATAATTTCGTATAGTAAATTTTAAACAGGCTATAATGGGTTAGTCGTGAAGAAAAAAATTCCATGTCTAATCCTTTTAAGCCTCGATGAAGCTTCATCTGCAATCTTGACAAAATAGAAGTCGCAAAGCTATTTGCATTTTATTCCGATTCTTTTACTGATTTCAAGTGTCCTTGTCTTTAGCTTCTGGCTTTGCTCGATTTGACAAAAATGTGGCCAATAAAAATTTCAACTGAAAGTAAAATGCACAAAAAACAAATGTCCCAATAGAAAAAATTCTGGCCCAGCAAGATGACAAAAATATCGGAAGAAAAATAGTAAAGCAAAGAAGACAAGATAATTGATTGTTTGATTCAATTGCAAAGTCAATTGCCTTTTTTTTACGTTGGATCTGAAACAAAATGGCCTTTGGATGATTGCGTGAGGATAACGTCAAAGGAAACGCACCGAGCACTGAAAATTGGTTACAAATTCTGATTAGAAGCGTCAGTAAAACAGCCAGAGGTAAAACATGGCTAAAAAACAAAAAACCCCAAAAAGAGACAAATTCAGGCCAAAGACAAATTGGGCTCTGGCTTCCGGATGGGTGTGGCAGTTGAACAAATTGAATTGTTTTCGGTTTGAGGGCATTGATAAGACAAAGCAATCAGTCAGCCAGTCAGGAGGCTTCAAAACTGGCCAAAAGTGAAGGCAGAAGCAAGGGCAATGTGCAAAATAAATGTTGGCAGGCATCTACGGTCGAAATAATTGGTAAAGTGATCGATTCGATGCGTAAAATGAATTACACGCTACTGTGAAAAGAAAGCTTTCCAGATAGATTGTTTAGTTTATTTTTTTGCATTTATTTTATTAAAAAGAAATTCTTGGGAAACCTTTGTCGCTGATGGTAGTAACTTAATATTTATTCAGATTTCTTTCATTATATATTTGGTGAACTTTTTATATTAGTTGAAATGGAAAATTATTTAAAAATTCATTCTTTGATTGCCATTTGAAAAATCTCTATGAGTTACCCAAACGCAGCAAAGTTGCCACTCCTTACAGTCAGGGGACTTAAATGCAAGTCCTGGATTTATTATTGGATTGGCACAACTTGACTTTGGGTAGCAGCCATCGCCAGAAACTCTTGGGTTATTAGGATTTTGGCCTAAACTTCAAAAAAATTTTAACTAAGTCGTTGTAGAACTTAAATAGCTTAACTTACACCTTTTCAGATCTTCGCTAGTCACTAGTAAAGCAAACACCATTAAAACAAAAAATTTCATTGCTTTCAGGCCCATGATAAATTGTTTTAAAAGATAAACTTAAACTGAATTTAACAGGAAAATTGTTTTTATATATATATTTTGGCAGCAAAATAAATGTTGGCAGGCATCTACGGTCGAAATAATTGGCAAAGTGATCGATTTGATGCGTAACATGAATTACACGCTACTGTGAAAAGAAAGCTTTCCAGATAGATTTTTTAGTTTTTGTTTTTGTATTATTTTATTAAAAAGAAGTCTTGGGAAGTCTTTGTTGCTGATGGTAGTAACTTAATATTTATTCAGATTTCTTTCATTATATATTTGATGAACATTTTATATTAGTTGAAATGGAACATTATTTAAAAATTCATTCGTTGATTGCCATTTGAAAATTCTCGATGAGTTACCCAAACCATTCAGCCCTTTCCCCCTGCTTGCGGGAACTTTACTTTGGGTAACGGCAGGCTTCCTGTGAGATTTTAGGATTTTCGCCTAAATTTCAAGAAATTTTTAAATAAGTCGTTGTAGAAATTAAATAGCTTAACTTACACCCTCTCTGTTCTGTTATAGTCACTAGTAAAGTAAGCATCAATAAAACAAACAATTGCATTGCTTTCAGGTCCATGATAAATTGTTTTAAAAGCTAAACTTAAACTGAATTTAACAGGAAAATGTGTTTTATATATATTTTAAAGTGACCTTTAATAAAGTTTTAAGTTTTGGAACTAATTTAAATTAGTTACATCATATTAAAGGTAATCACAATTAATAAGGTTCTTTGATTACATACTTTATATAATATTTTACATTAGGTAACAAATATTAAAAAGTTATAGTAAAATATTCAGTATTTGATTGTCATTTAAAGAAGGTCAATAAAAGAATTAATTTGTGAAAATTGAACAGTGTTTCCGCTTTATACAGTCAAGGGACTTTTTTCATATGGTAATATGGTATTATCATCCTCTTTGGAAGGCAAAAAAGTTATCCTAAGGGCCCCAAAGGAATTCATAGAATAGATAAAAAATTATATTGGAGAATTCTGATTTTGGGAGGCAAACATCGGAGTTTTCTCTATTATTCTTTGGATTTCGGCCTAGATTTCGGTTATTGGTGTTTTTTATTCATCATAAAAAATAAATAGGTGGGCAATTTTTCCTTGCATGTGAGGAAGAGTATAAAGATCAATAAGAATAAGAAAACTGGATGTAATAAAAGAATTTTTATTTTTTTTTATCGCTTTTTAGGTCGCCTCTAAGTAAATTGCATATAATGGAACTAATTTGGAATTATTGTATTGCCATTTTACGGCATAAAAACGCAACACTTTTCGTCCTCTTTGCAGTCAGGGGATTCAAATGTCATGTCTGGATGTTCTTTTGCTTTGGCACATCCAATATGTGATTTTGAGTAACAACTTCCTAAGAAAAGATTGGGCCTTTTAGGATTATGGCCTAAATTCCGAGATATTTTTTATTAGGTTATTAAGTACAACATAAATAATTAACCTTACATTAATTTCTGGCTGCGCTTGTTAGAAGAAATTGAATCAGGAGGAGGATTGAATCAGTCCAAAAGCAGTTTCTGCTATTTGCGTTAAAAGGCTTAAACTGGGATACTGCAACTTCCCTCCCGTCGTATAATTGCCGGTTAAAATTACTAAACCTACCTCCTTTAAAAGAGCGCCGTACTTGTGCTGGGGTTATGCTGCTTCATGTGCTTATTCTTGGACAGGTTGACTCACAAGTACTTCTTGAAAAATTAATGTTTTCTGTGCCTAATAGAGTAACTATATCATTCCGACCCCTTTGGTTACCAATTTCTAGATCTAATTTTGCGGAACACGATCCATTCCGCGTTATTTGTAAAAATTATAACTCGTTATCCCATTTAATGTCCCCTGAACTATCCCTAGATGTAATTAAATCCAAAATTATGGAATATCTTTTAACTTAATTTATCCTTACTCTTAGTTATAATAATATAGAAATAACAGTTCATTGTTAATAATAATAATAAATAAAAAAAATACAAACATTAGTAAAATAAAAATAGTCGGTTTCAGTCCCATGATAAATGGTTTGAAAAGCTAAACCAAAACTGAATGTAAGAAGAAAACTTTTGTTTCTTTTATGTATATTTTTAGGTCACTTATTATACATTTTTAGGTTGTAGAACTAATTTGAATTATCAATATTAGTTATATCATATTAAAGTTAAATTCAATTATTCAGGTTTCTTTGGTTATATAATTTTTCCTAATAGGTTACTAATACGGAATATGCAATAATGGAAAATTCAATATTTTAATTTCCTTTACATAATATCTTTAATTTACAAAAACGCAACAGTTTTCCTCCTCTTTACAGTCAAAGGAGTCAAATGTAAGTGATGGATGCTTTATTGGATTGGCACATCCAATATGTGATTTTGAATAACAACTTCCTATGAAATCATGTGGACTTTTAGGATTTCGGCCTAAATTCCAAGAAAATATGAAAAAAAGTTATTAGGTAGAGCATTAACAATTAACCTTACATCGATTGGTTCCGGCTTCGCTTGTTAGAAGTAAGACAAACATTAGTAAAATAAAAATAGTCGGTTTCAGTCTCATGATAAATGGTTTGAAAAGCTAAACCAAATCTGAATGTAACAAGAAAACATTAGTTTCCTTTATATACAATTTAAAGTCACCTTTCATACTAAAAATGTAGACGTAGAACTAATTTGAATTATGAATACTATATGTGCATAATATTAAAAACAAGAAAGCAAAGCTAACTTCGGGCGGAGCCGAAGTTGATATACCCTTGCAGCTAAAACCAGATATATATCGCAAACATCGGATATAGTTGGCCGATCCTTATGATTACATCATAATAAAACCAATAAATTACAATAAAAAATCTAAAAAAAAGTCCCAAGCTTCTATCTTCAAAAATACGAAAATTGATATTTCTACCAAATACTATTTCCGATCGTTCAGTTATATGGCAGCTATAGGATATAGTCGGCCGATCCTTATGAAATTTAGTAGGTCGGATTAAATGACCAAAAATATAATCTGTACCAAGTTCCAGCTTTCTATCTTCAAAAACACGAAAGTTGGGTCATTTCCGATCGTTCAGTTATATGGCAGCTATAGGATATAGTCGGCCGATCCTTATGAAATTTGGCATGTCGTAATGTTTTGCCAAAAATAGCTCTCAGGTCAAATTTGAACTCTCTAACTCTAAAAACACTAAAGTTATACCATTTCCGATCAATCAGTTATATGGCAGCTATAGGATATAGTCGGCCGATCTCGGCCGTTCCGACTTATATACTGCGTGCAAAGGAAAGAAGGGTGTGTGCAAAGTTTCAAGACGATAGCTTTAAAACTGAGAGACTAGTTCGCGTAGAAACAGACAGACAGACAGACGGACAGACGGACAGACGGACATGCTCATTTCAACTCAGGAGGTGATCCTGATCAAGAATATATATACTTTATAGGGTCGGAGATGTCTCCTTCACTGCGTTGCACACTTTTGGACAAAATTATAATACCCTCTGCAAGGGTATAATAAATTGAATTATTTAGGTTTCTTTGGTTATATATTTCATATGATTTTGCATATTAGGTTACTATTCATGAATTGAAAAATGCCTTAATCCATCATTGAATTGTTGGATTGCCAATAGACTTTGGGTATCAAAATCCAAAGGACCGCTTAAATTCTAGGAAATTTTTTAATTAATTCGATGTAGAAAATAATTAGTTTAACTTACACTAGTTCTTGCTTTGCTTGTCATTAGTAAGACAAACATAAATTAAAAATAAAGTAATAAACTACTCGAAATTTGTTGCATTTTAAAAACTAAAGGAGGTCAACGTCTTTTTTTATATTTATTTATAAGTCAATTAAAGTTATCTCTTATTCGTCATGGCCATCGATACATATAAAACCGAAAAATGCATTGCAAATGTGCCAAAATTGGAATTAAGGCTACCTTAAATATTTTAATAAAAGGTTTCTCTTTATATAAAAATATATTGTATTATTTGACTTGTTGGCAGCAATATAGATCATTGATACAATCAGGAGACTCAAATGTGAGACTCGGAAACTCCAAAGGATCTGCGCAAGATTCTTTCGGACGACAACCATCGCCAGTGATGTGGGAAATAGTGGGATGTTGGCCTAAAATTTCCCAAAATTTGAATAAAAATCATTTTCAACTAATATTAAAAATCTTACATTTGGCGTAGCAATCAAGAAATAAAGAAAAAATCCATGACAAAATAAATAGTTGTGGCGCAAGGTTCATGTCTTATTTCCTGAAATGCCACAGTGCAACTGAATGGAACCAATAGTTCCATTATGTGCTGAGTTTTTAACTTAGTTATTTATACGTTTCAAATTGATTGAGAATACCCCATCCTTTTTTGTTTAAGCACCTTATACAACTACATACTCTAAGATACTGGCACAAACATTGTTATTCTGGAAGTTAGATGGGGATAGGACTGTTTTTTCTTTGCTGAAATCTTTCTTATAAAAGCAAAACCGGTTAAAATATTTTATTAAATTATTAGTCACATTCATTTATCTACAAAGTTGCAGCAATATAATTTTTTTTTACAGTCTGGAGACTTAAAAGTAAGGCTTGGAAATTCTAAAGGATCAGCGCAGGCTGATTTTGGACTGCAACGGTCGCCAACGAAATGGGGAATAGTTGGATGGTGGCCTATAATTAAGTTAATTTGAATTCCGAAATAAATTAATAATAAAACACTTACATACGGCGTGGCAGTCGGAAAAGAAAGCAAACATCAAAGTGCAAAAAAATAACTTTGGTTTAAGATTCATGTCTTATTGCCTGAGATGATAAAATACAACAGAGTACAACAAAAAGTCAGATTGGCTTTTTGTTTTTAGCAGATTTTAAGACGTTTCTAATGGATTTTCGATGCCTTTTATCTATGTTTAAGAAGGTTAATGCATTGTTTGTTCTTCTTAGAATCTGTTTTTCTGTAATTGAAAAAAAAAGACGGCAGCTTATGACTAAGTCGATTTTTTATTATAGTGTCATTACGCCAATATAAAATCCTCAACTATATAAGTACTTTGGCCACGTTAGCTAATAATTTAATTGGGTCCAATGGAATGGGTCTCTATTACATGCATTTTTATATATACCCCAAACCGAAAGGGTATGTGGACGGCAAACATTTGAGATGGTATGGGGTGTAGCCTAAAATTTAGTTAAATCTAAATATAGATTAAATTATTGTATTAAAAAGTAATTACATTTGACTTCGCAGTTGATTACTTGAAACATCAACGACAAGAACAAGAATACTGCGCTTAGGTCCATTTCTCAACGACTGAGTTGAAAATTTTAACTGCATAGAATTTAAAGTCGATTGGGAGTTTGAAGTAGATTTTCAATGAAACTCAAGTTGATTAGTTATGCCTTTTCTTTTTAACTTAACAAGATTAATACCACGCATTAATTGGTTCTGGGGCTAACATTTTTATTTTGAAACGACAACGGAAAGCCTAGTTTTGGTTTTAATCGAGTTTAAGAAATCTCAGTAGACTTTTCATTATAGTATTTGTATTTGGAATTATAGTTGTAGTATTTGTAGCATGGTGTCCCTGTTTGGATGACTTGCATGTGAAAAAAAAGGGAGAATAGCCTAAAATTTGTAAAATAATATACAAATATATAAAATAATATAATATTATAATATACAATACTTACAATTGATTTTGCAGTTGATTACTACAAACATTAAAGAAAATAATAATAAGGTTATTGGTTTAAGGTCCATGTGTCTCCGTTACGATGCAAAAATTCATCTAAATACAGACAACTACCAACTTGGGTCTTAAAATATATTTTTAAAAGGTTTCAAATTGATTGGAAATGCATTTTTAAATAGCTGTATTGTTGTTTAACTTGTAGTTTTTACAAATTCCAAAGCCAATTTGAAATTGTAAATAGATTTTAATAATATTTCAAGCTGATTAGCTATGCCTTTTCCATTTTTTTTTTAAAAGGTGAAAAAAGTTTATGGTGAAATGGAGCCTTAAATTTGTAAAATTTAAATAATGAAATGAATTTTTTGTGGTAATATATGTATATGAATTTATACGAGACTAACATTCGACGTTGCACTTGATTACTCCAAAAATCAATGACAATAATAAGGTTGTTGGTTTCAGGGCCAAGTGTCTCAGTGTCTAGGATGCAAAAGTTTAACTGAACATAACAAAAAACCAACTTTGGCTTTTTAAAAGATTATTAGGAGGTTTTTAATTGATTAGCGATGCTTTTAGCTGTATTTTTTCTTTAATTTTATTTTCTCGTAAGACATAAGACTATGCGCGATTAAAGAACACGTTCTCTTATTTATAAAGTGGGTGCAGTAGAGTTAGCCTTTATTTTTTCTTTTCAAAGGCTCGCAACCGATTTGAAAGAACGTTACAGCGTAGCCTAAAAATGATGAAATAAAAAATAAAACAAATAATTTTGTTCGAGTAATGTAATACTAACATACTCTTTCGCAGTGAATGACTTTAATCATCAACGACATGAGTAAGAACATTTTTTTTAGGTCCATGTCTTATTGAGCGAGATTCAAAAATAACTGAATACAACAAGAAGACAACGTGATTATTAAAGCTTTTTAAATTGATTAGAAATGCTTTTTTGTAATTTTTATACTTATTTAAGTTTGAGCCGGGTCATATCTTTTTTTTTTTTTATCGATTTTTTTAGTACCTTGACTTAAGCGAAAATCCCTTCTCCTAGGATCATCCTAGGATGAATCCTAGGATAACATTCTGTTAATGGTTTTTAAAGAAATTAACTAACGTTTAGTTAGTTAGGAATAGTATCATTGTTCAGCTTTTCTAAGAGGCTTGTTCATTTTCAAAATTAAAAATGTAACAGACTAGACCGATTTTTTGTACTTTAAATAACTACATACATGCATCAGACTCCCTCGGCAATCAATCCAACCTTGTGAGCGAAACCAAACTGAAACCGCATTTGCATTACATTTCATCATTTTGCCAATTTTCGGTTTTCAATCAATTTGCCGCAAAAAGTATTCGTTCATTCGCAATTTTGCATTTGCCAATTACAGTATAGCTGATTGGATTGTTGGCAATCTTTTTGTGATTGTTTTTCGCCTCATTTTTTGCGTCCTCGTCCTGACTATCGTCCTCGTCCTGATCGCATGCATGTATGAGTATGTAAAAATGTTTGCCCAGTCCTTCCCCCGGAATTCCAGAGCAACTCAATTAAATCGAGCTCCAATCATATTCACCTGCATCCGTTTCCGTTCCATGCTTCACGTTGTTGCATCCTCCCCACGGCTGTATGGATTCCAGGATGCCCGCATTCCTGGACTTCTGTATTGTTGCATGGGAATGTATCTTTAAAATTCGAATTCATATTACGGATTACAAATTCGCAGCATGTTTGTCATTCCGCATGCCACAGTTTGGTTGTTGCAGCAAAATTTTCGGTTGTTGTTTTTCGATTGCTTGGACATTCATCCCTCCCAGGGTTTTGTGTTTTTTGTTGCTGTTCCCAGCCATTTTTAATTGCATGGCTTTGTTGTTGGTTTTGCTGGCTATACACTATATAATATATATATATATATATGTATCCTTTCGCTCAACGTCCTGCTGACTGATGTTTGTGTGCCGGCAATGTCCTTTATTTGATTTCAGTTTCATTTCGAAAATTTGTAATGCGCCTCATGTAGCGACAGGACCTGTTCCGTGCCTGTTCCGCTGTCTGACTGCCGAAGGATAATGAAACTATGCGCTGTCGCCATTTCGTTTGTTTTACACACCCACCTCCCCAGCCAGTCTCCTCCCAAAGTATATCCTCGCTTTAAACAACCAAACATGTGGCAAGTCCCCCCAATGCCAGTATCCACTTTACGTGGTTTTTCCAGCTTTTCCTTTTTGGCCACGTTGTCATCATCATGGGGCGGAGAAAGTTCCGGGGTCGGGCTTAGTTGGGTCCCACTGCTGCGGTCCGTCTGTGGCATTTCAATTTCAATTTTAATGCCAGCTACGGAAAGTCGCAAATAAAACGAACGAAATCATTATTCCTCACTATTTACTCAAGGTGTACTCCCCGGGGTAGGATTCTACGGTGTGGCGCTGGTCGAGGATGATGGAAAACGGGCGGGGTGGTAAGAGCATCAAGGGATTATCGGAGCATTGAGAGATTTTTCATGTCTAATTCGGTTTAGCAATTTGTTTGCCAAAGCACTGGCAACAGTGGCTTCAAATTCTAAATTAAGTTACACAGACCGCGATTTTGGATGCATCAGAGGAAGCTTTTCATCAATAGTGTTGGAAGTATTTAAAGCTCTTTATGGGGATTCTTTCCAATTCTGAACTAATCTATACCATATCATTTCGAAATATCAAAAATAATTTAGCTTTCATCGAAATAAATTATTTGACACGCCTCTTGAAATAGAGCCAGGCCTCATTTATAAAAATGTCACAACAAAATATGCTATTATTGCTGAGGCGGTTCGATGATGACAACCATAGGGGGCTCCCCCAGGCATTATCCGGAAAAAAAGGGTAATGATCCATGGGACAGTGATCGAGCGTTGCGAGCGGCCTCAAGCTGCGATCGAAATTGAAGAGAAAATATTTGTATATTTAATGAGGCGTTGAGCGATGAATTTTGACAAAGAAGTTATATGGAATTTGTTAAGCCATATTTTCCCATTTATTCACGTATTAATTTAGGCAAGTGTCAAAGGTAATTTGGAAATATTGCGCATACGCACCATTGTCCGGACGGCACTTAAATTTTTCGCCGAGCTGGGAATTGACAATTCGATTAAGTTTGTCACAATTGCGGCAGTGAGTGGGGCAATTATCAGAATATTAAATCGGGTTTTATCGTTCGCCAACTATCAGCGTATTAAAATGTCAATTATGTCTGACATTTCTTCCTCGTTCGCCGCACCCATCCTGCCATCCGGTTCGAAAATTTTGGCTTCAGGTGGATTTGAATTAATGCTCGGCATTCGGTTTTTGATTTATTTGTTTCATTTTATTTTTATTTATTTTTGTGAATCACGCTGTTTGCTCTTTGTTGGTCTTGTTTAGTAGTGGAAAATAAACACAAAATTAATGACATTTTCCACCATATAATATCTCTCCGAAAAATCAAATATTATTTGCTACTTTGAAACTGATTTAAAATTTGCCATGCAACCTGTGATTATATCTCCGTGATGCGAATGCGAATACAAAAAATGGTAGAAAAAAATCATTTTGTGCGAAAATCAACAGCCATTGTGAGTGACCGCAAAATCAATTTCAATTGTCAACAAAGTCAAAACAGGATGAAAATAATACAAAAAAGCTACGCCAGCCTCGAACCAACAAAAAATAGAAGAGAAAAACAGAAACCAAACCGTGCAGGAAAAATCATAATATAACTTTTAGCAACATGCCAGGACAACAATAAGAACAGAACTTTGCCGTCGGCAGTCGAACGGCCAAAGAAGTTGGCCAAAAGAAAAAAATAAATAAATTCGAGAAAAACTTTGCCACTCTTTTTTGCGACTTAAGAATCGGCTAGCTCTGAGCTCTGGCCAAGGACTTGTCCGGAGCTGAAATGAGTATTGGAAGGCGGTGGCCATCGGCAAGGACAGGTTGGTCCTGGGCGGGGGCAGTGCGTGCCTTAAAGTTTCTGCGGTTTTTTTAGACCAGACAGGAGCGCAGACGGAAACGGAGATGGAGCTGCCGACCGAGTCGTGCTGGGCAACTAATGAAGCTGTTCTGGCCAAAGTTTAAGGCCAACCGAGGAGCAGCCATCTGAATCTTAAGGAATCCCCATTTCTAATACTTTAAGCAACCAGATTCATTCTAATTGTTTTAATTTTAATAATTGGTGTTTGCTTAAATTAAAAGTGTTGTTGATTTGCGATTTATTTGTTTTATTTAATTAATCTGGCACTCGTTGCTTAATTAAAAATTAAATAAATAGCAAACATTTGCGAAAGTGTTATTAAATAGTATGCAAATAAATGTACATATATATTTTTATGCATTTTTAAAATTAGAAACAATGGTAAAATTAAAGAGAAAAGATTTTTATAGAAAGACTTTCAAAAGGCAATTGTTTTGCACATTTTTCCGCAATAATATTTTACATAATAGACCGAGTTCTCTGAATTGAATGAAAATTGTGACCCAAACATCCGGTGCAAAATATTTATTTGTGCAACAGGATGAAAGTTCGAAGAATCAGGAGTAGGGGCTGGGGAGCAGGCAGTTTTCTCTAGCGGAAATTGATTTCGCTTTGAGCGGAGCATAAGGAGCAACAAAGGCATTCTGGCGGCACTGGTGGCCCTGGTGGCACCTACCCAAAAAAGGGCCAAAGGACACAACGCACATTTCCTGCGACAAATTTGCCAGGCGATGCCAGGATGCGGACAAAGTGGATACGGAATGGAGTGGAGTTCGGGAGCCAGAGAGGCAAGTGCTCCTCTTAAACGAACTTTGACTTCTTGTTTGGCACTCAATTTATGGGTCTATCGAGTTTGCTTACTTCTGTACTGCCTGTGTGCGCCGTGTTGCCTTTCGGAAAGTTAACTAAAAGCCAACATAAACAAGGCTTTCATTTCGATTTTTAATAGCGGCACATTGTATTTATTTTCCGATCAATATATCGACCAGTTGGGTAAATTTTGGGTAAAAATGGTAAACGGCAAATAAATAGCAAAAAATGTTGGACAGAACGTTCATTTCACGTACATTTTCGCAATCATCGGACAGCATTTCATTCTGTATTAAAATTTATGCGCAGGTCAAGTCCACACATTCCCGCATACGGTCATATCTGAAGCTCATGTCCTGCAGCCAGGACATGCTGCTGTTGCTACTGCTGCTCTTGCTGCTGTTTTTGCTGTCCAAATATTTATATTCATTGTGTCAGAGTGTTAAAGCGATAAAATGCAGTGTAAATACAAAGCAGCTAACCCAATTTTCCCCCACCAGCCACCAAACCACCATCATCCCACCGTCCCAAAAATCCCACATCCTTTGAGCTCCTTTTTGTATGATTAGTTGTAAGGGTGGCTAGGGGGTACTAGGGGGTAAGGGGGCAATGCCACGCCCCCGGGTTTCGGGCTGTTGACCACAGCAACCATTCGAATTATTCATGCATTTAATTTTTGTGTAATTTGCAGCAGGATTTCGTGTAA